TTGGAGTTAAATGAGTCTCGATGGACTTGCATTGGAAATTTTAATTGGATTTCAATGTGGACTTATATATATATATACACACACACACATACAAACACACACACACACACATGAAGAAAAGAGGAAAAGCTGCCGGTAGAAAGGAGAGAAAAAAAGGGCAGAGAAAAAGAAGGGGAACAAAGAGAGGGGAAGTCAAAGAAAACGGCCGTCGGCAGGAAGAAATAAAAGAAGAAAAAAAAGAGAGAAGATAGGGAAAAAAGGGGCTGCTGTTGAAAAGAAGAAGGAAGAATATACATGCACAGGAGATGGCAACACGCGGAGAAGGAGAGAAAACGGCGAAGACAATTAGACAGCAGCAGTTGAAGAGAAGAATTAATTTCAAATTGTTGTACAATAATTCAACAATAGTTGTACAAGAAATTTGGAAATTAAACACGTACTGTCAATTTATCGGTGATGTCGTTCCATTTTTGCATTTTTTTTATTTTTACAGTATGAGTAACTAATTTTCATATTAGAGAAAACAATGTAGTCGACTTGTGATCCTTTATTTTTCTATTCAAGATTTCTATGATTTTTTCTTATGTGTGTTGGTTTTAGTGTGAGTTTAATGTATTGAATTACTTGATCACTAATTTGATGATTATGTGAGTTTTTTACGAATCGAGAGGTGAGTTTGAGATTTAGACTAGATAGTAAAATTCGATAAATTAGTATAACGCGTAGAGATACATATACTAATTATTGTAGTCATAATATGAATTCTTATAACCAGTGTTTTGTTTAATCAAAGTTGGTTCACATACAGATATGTAATTTAATTAGTTAAATAGGTTCAACGAGTACTCGAGATGTGTAAATTAAATACAATAGAAGAATTCGATCGAACACTACATTAGATTATGAATCCTGAATTAAGAATTAAAGTGATCAATAAATGAAATTGTTATGTCTTAATATTTATCACATATTTGAATCTTCAATCAACCGTTGTTGCAATCTTTTTATATTTTCAATTAGTTAAAAGTAGTTAGGAAAAATAATCGCAACCATCATAATTATTTACTTGCTTTTATCAAATATGAGTTAGAAAATTTTGATTAAGTTCTGAAGTATAGTTTTCGTGAGAACGATATCCGAATTCAACGGTCCACTATACTGCTTGTTACGATATCGTACACTTGCGATATAAAAAATGCAATATCTGCTGAATATTGTAGCCCACTACCTTATGAGCATATGAGGTAGCCATATTTGGAAGCCTAAACGATGGTGTTAAATGTTTCAATATCGACACAACTTATACCAAGATCATGGTTTACTCACTAAACTTTATAGTGCTTTACAGTGCTCACTAAACTCAGTCCATTTGCACTCCATCCACTGTCTGTCAAATTTCATTTTTCTTATCGTCGACGTATCAAATGGAAATTCCACGTAGCAAATTATAGTCATTAAAAAAAATACAACTCGGCTAAACCATCCAAGTAAAAGTTTCCACACCAATCCAACTTATACTATGGTCACGGTTTACCCATCAATTTTCAAAATGCTTCCTAATGATCACTCATCTTTAAGAGTTACACTCCATCCATTATCAACCGAATTTCGTTCCCTTCATTACTGATGCGTCATGCAGAAATCCTACGTGATAAGTTACGGCATTATAAAATTACAACCCAAGCAATCATCAAACTTACCAAAATTGTCATATGTGAAATGTGGCCCCATAAACTTCTTTAAGCCCCAATAGTTCGTTCCCAATTTCAGTAGAAAAACCCTAACCTGCAATTCACCCATCTCACCCACGTACAACTAAATTATATGCTAAGACATGATCGATCGTTGAGAAGAATGCAAGAAGCTACTATTATAAAGCTTTATCCCCCATTCTACCATTTGTCTGAAGTATCTCTAATCATAATCTTCCATTTTTGTAGACGTGTGTTCGATCATTTGAGGAAGGAAATGTCGCCAAATTCTAATCAAATTGAGGAGCAAAGAACAACAAACACAAACACAGCCCATAATGTATTCTAGTTGTACACCAGCTGCTAAAGTTCGATGACATTTCCTTCCTCAAATAGTTAGACACATATCTAAAAAATGGAAGATTAGGATAAGAGAGATGCTAGGTAAATGGTACAAATGGGAGATAAAACTTTATAAGTAGTAGCTTCCCACATCCTTCTCAACAATTGACTTTGTCTTGGTACACAATTTAGTTGTACATGGATGAAAATAATGAATTGGGGGCTAAGATTTTTCGGGATTGAAAATGGAGACGATCAACGGGGCTTAAATGAGCTTTATGGGGCTGTTGAAGTTGCGTTTCACATATGTTAATTTTGCAGAGTTGGATGGTTTGGCTAAGTTATAAATTCTTTAATGGTAGTAACTTGTCACGTGGAGTTTTCATGCAACGCATAAGCAATGAAGGAATGGATGGGGTACAACTCTTAAAGATGAGTGACCATTGGAAAGTATTTTTAAGTTTGATGAGTAAACTATGTCCATGTTATAAGTTAGTTGAGTAATGAAATATTTTACTTGAATAGTTTGGTTGAGTTGTAATTTTTTCCGATCGTAACTTGCCACTTGGAAATTTTCATTTAATACGTCAGCAAAGGAGGGGAACAAAATCTGACGGATGGTGGATGAAGTGCATACAGACAAAGTTCAATAAGCATTATGAAACACTTTAAAGTTTAGTGAGTAAATCGTGATTATGATATAAGTTGGGTGATTATTAGAACATTTAATTCCTAAACAAGGATACGCGAGTAGCAGCTATCCTCTCAAAAAATATTTTAATATGTTTACTTCATTTAATTAGATAGATTTGAATATAACAATTACAAAACTAAAGATTCAAAGTATAAATTAGAACAATGGAATATGTGAATATCGAGTTTTTGAAGTTAGGCCTGGTTTAATGAGAGGGGAAAAAATTATCTGTTTGTCTCTATTAATTTATCTGGTCAATCTTCACAATTCAAATGTTGTAATGACAAAGACATACCACCTAAGCACAAAGCTGATAGGACACGTCTATGTAAAATAATCAAAAGCTCATACCTTTAGTCATTTCAGTGTTTCTCTTATAATCAATCTATTTTGAGATAAAAACTAAATTAATCCTCTATTTCCATAGTTGGAGTTGTAACAGATAGATCATAATAGGGATTGCTTTAACAGGATTGAAAGCCAACTAGTTAGGTAAAAAGAGATAACCTCTTCTTGAATAATACATGGACCATGCTAGTTGTACAACCGAGGATGAAAAAGCATAATGTGCAAAAAGAAGTGACACAAATATTCATAATTCATCGCCCCTTAATTCATCTCTTTATCAACTTTTAGTAAGTCAACATAAGTTAAAGTAAAAATGAGGTATGATAGTGATAGAGATATTACTGTAAAAGTTTTAAGTCGAATCCAATTTAAAATAGATTAAAATGTTCATATCTGAGATCCGTAAATAAATGAAATTAACCCTATTTCATTATTACTCATATAAAGAAACAACAATATTCCATTTTGCTAACATAAGGTTAAACTGTCGGTCAGCTGGGGGGCCATGAAAACATGGAAAAATTATCCTAAAATGCAATTGATAGTCAATAGAAAGAAATAGGAAGCAAAGAAAATTAGGATGACACCAAGTCCAATTATTTTTAGGTGGGTCATTCCAATTTGGATATGTGGCCTACAAACTAAACTCGTAGACCCATGAAGCCCATGGTATATGTAATTTATTGGAATTGTGGAATGGATGAGAATGAAGTATGATGTAGACACACATCATCAAGGATTAAGGAGTTTTGCATCTATCTATCTATATGAGAATAATGTATGGTCGTGATTCATATATTCAAA